GAACAAAGATAAGGATAAACACCATATTTCTCATTGAAAATAATGTGAGAAGACAGTGGAACAACAGCTTTAAAATACAGAAAGGAAAAACTATCAACATAAAATTCTGTGTTGACAAATTCTTTTGGCAAAAAATCTTTCAAAAATGAAGGCAAAATAGGGCGCCTGGGAGGCTCAGATGGTTGAGCGTCTGTCTTCGGCTCAGGTCATGATCCCGGGGTCCTGGGATCGGGTCCCACATCGGGCTCCCGGCTCAGCGGGGAGCCTGCTTCTCCCTCTGACCCTTGACCCTCTCATGCTGTTTCTCTCTCGCTCTCTAAAAAATAAATAAAATCTTTAAAAAAAAAAAAAAATGAAGGCAAAATAAAGGTGTTTCCAGATACACAAAACCACTTTACCCTATAAGAAATGTGAAAGGAGGGGCGCCTGGGTGGCTCAGTCGTTAAGTGTCTGCCTTCGGCTCAGATCATGATCCCAGGGTCCAGGGATCGAGCCCTGCATCGGCTTCCTGCTTAGCGGGGAGCCTGCTTCTCCCTCTCTCACTTCCCCTGCTTGTGTTCCCTCTCGCATAAAAGGTAAAATCTTTAAAGAAAGAAAGAAAGATAGAAATGTGAAAGGAAATACTTCAAGCAGATTAAAAATGGTAACCACTGGAAATCTGGATCTACACAAAGGAATGAAGATCACCAGGAATTGTAACAATATTAATAAATATAAAAAGACTATTTTCTTACTATTTAAAACTTTTTAGAATATAACTGTATAAACAAAAATAACAGTATATTGTACAGTTTATAGCATAACATGTAAAAGTAAAATGCATGGTAATAGTACAAAGGTTCAGAGTAATGTACACTGATGTCAGGTTTTTATACTATACATGAAGTACTATAATATAACTTGAAGGTACACTGTATTGGTTAAAGATGTTTAAATGCTCAGTGACCACTAAAATAAAAGAACAAGGGGCGCCTGGGTGGCTCGGTTAAGCGACTGCCTTCAGCTCAGGTCATGATCCTGGAGTCCCTGGATCGAGTCCCGCATCAGGCTCCCTGCTCGGCAAGGAGTCTGCTTCTCCCTCTGACCCTCCTCCCTCTCATGCTCTCTCTCTATCATTCTCTCTCTCTCTCAATAAATAAATAAAAATCTTTAAAAAAAATAAATAAAAATAAAAGAACAAGAGTTACAGATAATAAGACAACAAAAGAGATAAAAGATAATCATTTAAATACTCTGTTAATCCTAGGGCACCTGTGTGGCTCAGTCGGTTAAGTGGCTGACTCTTGATTTTGGCTCAATTCATGATCTTCAGGGTCCTGGGATTGAGCCCCACATCCAGCTCCATGCTCAGCAGGGAGTCTGCCTGAGGATTTCTCTCCCTCTCCCTCTGCCCCTCCCTGATTGTGCTCTCTCTAAATAAATAAATCTTAAAAAAAAAAAAACTATTAATATACAAAAGAAGTCAGGTAAAGGGGAACAACAAAAAAAGATAGGACAGACAGCAACGCGATAGTCTCAAACCTAATCACAACAATAATCATGTTAAATGAAATTGGCCTAAGCACAGCAATCAAAATACAACAGTTGTCAGATTGAATTAAAAAGCAAAATCCAATTATATGCAGCTTACAAAAAGTACATTACAGATAATGAAGCTAGAAAAAGATTTAAAGTAAAAGACTGGGAAAAGATATACCTTATATTCATCAAAAGAAAGCTGGAGTTAAATTATATTAGTATCAGACAAAGCAGCTTTCAGAGCAAGGAATATTACTACAGACAAGGTTATTTCATAATGATAAAGTGATCAATTAACAAGACATAATAATCCTAAATGTTTATGCATCACATAAAATCTTCAAAATACATGAAGCAAAAACTGATAACAGACTTCAAGGAGAAATAAAACAAATTCACAGATATAGCTGAAGATTTCAGGACCTCTCTCTTAGTACTTGATAAAACAAGTTGTCAGAAAATCAGTAAAGATATAGTGGCTTGAACAGTATTCTGAACCAACTTGACCTGATATTCGTAGAACACTCATCTGACAGGAGAATATGCATTATTCTCAAGTGCACATGGAACATTTACCAAGATAGAACATATTTTGGGACATAATACAAGTCTCAATAAGTGGATACAAGGCATAAAAAGTATGATCTCTGATCTCTGTTAGTTAACTGGGCCTGCCATAACAAAATACCACAGACTGGATGGCATTAAACAACAGAAATTTATTTTTTCATAGTCCCAGGAGGCTGGAAATCCAAGGTCAGGGTGCCAGCATGGTTGGGTTTTGGTGAGCACTCTTCTTGTCCTGCAGACAGCCACCTTCTTGTTGCATGCTCACATGGTTTTTCCTTGGTGTGTGCACACCCAGGAGAGAGGGAGCAAGCTCTCTGGTATCTCTTCTTAGAAGGATACTAATTCCATCATGAGGACCCCACCCTCATGATCACAGCAGAATTACATCCCAAAGACCCAGTCACCAAATAACCATCATATTGAGAGTTAGGGCTTCAACAAATGAACTTTTTTGTGGGGTGGTGGAGGGGAGTTGACACAAACAGTCAGTCCCTAACAGATCACAATGGAATCAAATTAGAAATCAGTAATAGAGGTCTAGAAAATTCCCAGATATTTGGAAACAAAAATAACACTTTCATGCATCAAAAAAGAAGCAGAAAAATGAAAAATACATTGAATTAAGAGAAAGTGAAAACACGCTAAATTTATGGGATGCTGCAAAAGCAATACTTAGGGGAGGAATTACACCTCTAAATGCCTAGGTTAGAATAGAAGAAAAAGGTATCAATGATCTAAACTTTAATCCTAAACTAGGCGGGAGGAGAGCAAATTAAACTCAATTTAGTAAATAGGCAAAAGGTAAGAATAAAGATCAAAGCCAAAATAAGTCAAGTATTTTCTCTAGGGGTAGAGAGAAATTCGTGAAACCAAAAGCTGATTTTTAAAGGCCAATAAAAGTGGTAACCTCTGGCCAGGCTAATCAGGAAAAAGAGAAGCCATAAAAACAGTATCAGGGGGACGCCTGGGTGGCTCAGTCGGTTAAGTGACTGCCTTCAGCTCAGGTCATGATCCCAGGGTCCTGGGATCGAGTCCCACAGCGGGCTCCTTGCTCAGCAGGGAGCCTGCTTCTCCCTCTGCCTGCAGCTCTCCCTTCTTGTACTCTCGCTCACTCTCTCTCGCCTATGCTCTCTCTCTCTAGTAAATAAATTAAAAAAAAACTTAAAAAAAAAAACAAAAACAGTATTAGGAATGAGAGAGGTGGTATAACTAGAGCCTCCAGGTATTAAAACAATAATAAGGGACCACTGTCAACAACTTTATGCCAGTAAATTTGATGACTTAGATGAAATGGACCAATTCTTTGAAAGACACAATTTGCTAAAGCTCACTCAAGAAGAAATCAATAACCTGAATAGCCCTATATTTATTAAAGAAATTGAAAATGTCAGACTGTTTTCCAGAGTGTCTGCATCAATTTACATTCTCACCAGCAATGTCCTTGCTTGACACTTGGTTATTACCTGATTTTCTGGTTATAGCCCTCCTCATAGGTGTGAAGTGCTAGCTCATTCTGTTTGGATTTGTATTTCCCTGACATTAATGATGTGAAAAATCTTTTTGTATGTTTATTGGCACCATTTGCATATTTTTCATTTGCATATCTTTTTATTTGCATATCTTCTTTGGAGAAGTATTTATTCAGATTCTTTGCTTATTGTTTAATTGAGTTGTCTTTTTATTGAATTGTAGGAGTTCTTACATGTTCTGAATACAAGGCCCTTATCAGACATAATAGCAGATATTTTCTCCCATTCTGTGGGTTGGGACTTTTTTGATTGTGTCCTTTGAAGCACAAGATTTTTATGTTGATGAAGTCCAATTTACCAATTTTTTGGCTGTGTCTTTAGCATCATGTATAAGAATCCACTGCCAAATCCAAGATCATGAAGATTTATCCCTATGTTTCATCTAAGAATTTTATAGTTTTAGCTCCTATAAGTAGAATTCAGTTCCTCATTGCACTCCCACATATTAAGTGCTCATGTGGCTATGTCTACCCAGTGTAGATACAGAATGTTTCCATCATTGCAGGAAGTGCTTTAGGACACAAACAGTTTAATATAGTTGAAGATGAGCTAAGGACTTGAACAGTTAGTTTACCAAAAAAGAAAGAAATGAGTGAACTCACGTACACAAAATTGTTTAGTAGTTAATGCAAAATTAGAACAGAGATTGCATTGTTAGTTCCCCAAATGGACAGTGACTACTTCCTTCAGGTCTTGACTTAGAAATCACACCAGTGAGGCCTTCCCAACCCACCGTATTTAAAATTTCAAATTTAGTCTTTTTATTTCCTGCATTTTCTCATTAGCTGGTACCATTAATATACATCTAACTTACTTTTCTTGTTTATTGTCAGTGTCCTCCCTCTTGGAATGTACAATCCATGAAAGCCCGTTTTATGCACTATTTTTTGTCCCTCCATTATGTAGAACAGTCCTAGATAGAGTAAAAACTGAAGTATATGTTGTTGTTAAATGAAAGCTGACAGGTGTAGAGAAAAAAAATGTTCTCATACACTGCTATCAGAGAGCAAATTGGTACAACCTTCTTGGAAGCAGTTGTGTAGTACATTAAAGTCTCAAAATTGTGCTTGCCCTTTGACCTGACTTTTCTCTTTCTAGATATTTATCATAAGGAAGTAATTAAGGATGTGCACAGAGATATTGCTGGAAGATTCAGCCACAATGGAATGCTTTTATCTGCAGTCAGGAGAACTCTTGAACTGACATATTAGAAGGAATGTAGATTGTTTTTCAAAATGTGGCTATAAGAACTGTTTTGCAGAGTTGTTCAAAAGAGCCTCTCCTATTGTTCCTAATGCCTTAGCATATTAAAATATAGTCTCATTACTGACTTTTTGGACCTACTTTCTTTCAAAATTAAAACTTATATAATTTTTTCCACAGGTCCCTTAATATGGACTTTGAAAATCAAGATAAAGAGAAAGACAATAGCAGTTCTTCTGGGTCTTTCAATGGCAACAGCACCAATAATAGTAAGGAATTTTATGTCAATTAACTTTAATGCATGTAGTGGTCTTAATTAGATTCTTTCTATAATCCCAGTTAATTTACTGGGTTTAAGGATTTATGTTTGGTTATAATAATAAAATCTAATCTGTATTGGCATAATTTGTAAAAATTCTTATGTTCTGAATCTAAACCATTGATTTCTTGTGTACTGCTTTTAACTCATGCCTAAAAGCTTGCTGCTAAGATTATTTTCTTAAAAACAAGTAGGATTGATAGGTATCTGCCTGCTTATGATTTCATTTAAATCCTTTGGTGAAGTCAATAATTTTGTAAGTGTTGATCACAAATTCATTCAGGGACTCTTTGAAGATAGTTACTTGAAGTACTTGTAAAACTAAGTATTGTGACAACCTCTTCTGGTATTAAAGATTTTATAAGAATGCTTGCTTTATGAAATAAGTTAATCTGAGAAAAACAAGTATTATATTATCTCACTGATACGTGGAATTTGAGAAACAAGACAGAGGATCATAGGGGAAGGGAGGGAAAAATGAAACAAGACAAAACCAGAGAGGGAGACAAACCATAAGAGACTCTTAATCTCAGGAAACAAACTGAGGGTTGCTGGAGTGGAGGGGGTGGGAGGGATGGAGTGGCTGGGTGATGGACATTGGGGAGGGTATATGCTATGGTGAGTGCTGTGAATTGTATAAGACTGATGAATCACAGGGGCGCCTGGGTGGCTCAGTCGGCTAAGCGGCTGCCTTCGGCTCAGGTCATGATCCCAGGGTCCTGGGATCGAGCCCCGCATCGGGTTCCCTGCTCAGCGGGAAGCCTGCTTCTGCCTCTCCCTCTGCCTGCCACTCTGCCTACTTGTGCTGTCTCTCTCTCTGTCAAATAAATAAATAAAATCTTAAAAAAAAAAAAAAAATGATGAATCACAGACCTGTACCCCTGAAACAAATAATACATTATATGTTAATTAAAAAAATAAACCTAGCTCAAAAAAAAAAAAAAGAATGCTTGCTTTATAAGAAATAGAAGTGTGCTAGATGGCAAATGTTTTGCAGCATTGTTTATAATGGCCAAAAAGTAGAAACACAACTCAGAGATCAATAAACTAGTTCATGGATAAACAAAATATGGCCTATCCATACAATGAAATACTATTCAGCATTAAAGAGAATGAAGTACTGATACATGTACATTGCTACAGCATGTATGAACCTCAAAACATTATGTTAAGAAGCCAGACAGGAAAGACTACATATTGTGTGAGTCCACTTACATGAAATTTCCAAAAAGGCAAATATGGAGAGACAGAGAGTGGATTTGTAGTTGCCTGGCAAGTATTAGACACTTAAGATGGGTAAATTTTGCCATATGTATATTGTGCCTCAATAGAGTTATAGAAAATGGTGATGCTTATTATAAGGGGAATTGAATTATAAATAAGGAGACTTGATTTGATAATCAAGAGCTTGATACTGGGTTCCTACCATGCAATTTATTAGATATATATTTTTTGGATATTCTGTTAGATATTTTGAAAGCTGAAAAAGCACAAGAGCTGGTACCCAAGCTATCACTAGGCAGTGTGGCCAAAACACTTTGTAAGGCATTAATAAAGTACTAAGACAGAGATAGTAAATACCACTTCCGTCCCTGAAATAAGAACTTTCTCTCACAGACCCTTACCATAGCCTCAGAGTACTTCTGAACAAGCATCTAATGTCACTAGATCAGAGTAAGCACTTGAGATGAACTCATTTGACATCCATGTACACAGAGAGTAAAAAAAAGAAGGGCAAGTCAGGGTGAGCCACCATAGGTCAATTTAATAATTGACCCATCCCAGAGAAGGTGAGTTTGACTTGAAATTTGAAACAGTGAACTTGGATTGCTGGAGAAGTCAATCTGGGTGGGAAGAGCATATGATAACAGACACAGAGAGAATGAGCATGACTTACAGGACAGCCTCAAGTTACCACCCTAATGGGGAGGAGATACTGAGGATCCAATGTAAAGTTAGAATACTGATGGAGAATTTTAGAAGTTAAATTGAAAAGAGATCATTCAGTTTCTCTAATTACTACCCTTCCCGCCAAATTATACTTGCCTAGTTTTCACCCAGTTAAATGTGTTCGCTGTCCCCAGGAGTGTAAAGTGGGCATTACAAATAGAATCATTTAAATATGAGTCTTTTCTTAAACTTATGACACAGATCCTTGTATGAGGTGTAAAATACCATACCTGTAACTTACGAGGAACCAGGTAAAACCCAGTGTCAATTCCTGATTTTAAGGTTAAATGATTATATAGCATTTACCTTCTGTCAACATTTTAGGCCAAATCACTTTATACAACTTAAACTCCTTTACAAGTCCTGTGTTATGTAGTATATATGCAAATGATGTATTTAAACCAGATTATAAATCCATTGTACATTGAATCACAGAAACCTAAGAGAAGTGGACACTGTGTGTCTAAGTACAATTTTATCCTCAAATAAATGATTAGGTCAGTCCATACAGTGGAAGGAAGTTACATGGTGACATCAGTTTCATTTCTCACCACTGACTTCTGAAGAGTAGTAGATGTTTGTTTAAATTGTCGTTTTCTTAAATCTACCTCCTTGGTTGTGCTACATTATCCTCACAGATGTACTTCCTCGGTGCCTCATCTGGGCTATGGATACCAGAAGGGATAGACAGAGATTAGGAGAGGATACAGTCCACTACCACATAATCAGGAAAAACACAATGAAAGAAATGGCTGTTGTGGCAAGGCCGGCCAATACTTGATCATGGAGCATGACACCATTCCAGATTGAAAGGACAGCATGGAAAATGGGGTACATTTATCAAAACCAAAGAAATAATAACAGCCAGAAAGATGAACAGAGAAACACAAGAGACTGTGTTAGGTGCTAAAGAGATTGAAGTCCTGAATGATAACAATGTAGAAGAATTATGGGGAACTTCTCAGGAAAGGAAGGTATGAGTTTAGTGTTCAGATTTTGGCAAGAGTGTTCTGAACTGATTGAAGGAGAAAGTGTAAATAGGTAGAAGTTGTTTTTAAAGGTTGCAAAATTTAAAAAATAGAAATAAAGGTTGCAGTTGCCTACTCCCAAAATAAATAAGAATCAAGGAATTTGTGAAAAAGACAAAAAATGAGTGACAGTTACCTAAACAGCATGGATGCTGCTCACAATGTTGGGCTTTAAAAGAAGCCAAACACACAAAAATACGTGCTACTGTAATTCAGTGTATGAAATAAGCTCAAAAAATAGGCAAAATAAATATTAGTATTAGTGTTAGGATGTGCACTTGAGTAGAAAACATATAAAACAGAGGAAAGAAGAAAGTATCATAAAAGCTAGGATAGTAGTTCCCTTTGGGGAAAAGAATAGGGACTGGGAGGGGCACAAGAAAGACTTCTGGGCTTGGCAGGGTTGTTTCCTGACCTGGGTGGTATTAACTGATTGACTGAACTCTACATTTTTGTTTTATGTACTTTGCTGTATGCTTGTTGTGTTTCACAATAAAAAGGGTTAGAAAGAAAGTGGGGAAGAGGGAGTGCCCTCTAGGTCTTCTCTGATTTTTGTGAACCTGGCTCTAAATCCTGTCTCATCCCTATATCTGCCCCAAAAAATTCTATAAAGAGATTTTTCCTCCTGGCACACCAGTCCTTCATTTAATCAGTATTAAGTGGGTTAAAAAAAGGACAACTCCCACCCTTACCCCCAATATCTGACATCTTGAAGTCCTTTACCAGGCTTCCCACGTAATTTATCTGAACTGTGAAGATTGTACAGAGTTTTGAAGCCCTCATGTTACGTACTGTGTAATAGGTGCTCAGTAAATAGTGAAAATTTCAGCATGCTTCTTTCACAGAGGTGCAAAATCGGTAACTTTCTTAGTGATTATCAGTAATAATGCTGGTGTATATTGTTCAGTATCTATTTCATGACCCTATATTTAGCCTGTAGCCTTGTTCACTAAATGCTAAAAATAATTTCTCTGTACATAATTTTTTCCATCACCATGCCTGTTTCTTTTTTTTTTTTTTTTTTGCGACTGCCCTCCATCTCTTGGCAGCTTCTTGCTATTGTCCTAAAGTACCTTATCTCTAGGGTCCGCCTTGAAGAGAAAACCATGCCTATTTCTTATGTTAATTTTGGCTTTAAAGGTAATGCCAACTGCATTTGAGTAACTCCTCCTAATTATGATGACTGTTTTGCTTTGCTCTGTTTTGTTTTGAAGTCACTGAAATTTGGCTGAAATTGCTAATTAATTAGCTCCATCCCCTACAGGACCATTATCTCCAGACCTTTAGGAAGTACAGTATTAAAATTGTGTACATTTTTTTAGGGAGCATATTGTCAGCAACTAAAGGAACTTCACTTGCCCTGTGACATTGCTCTTTGGTAAACTCCCTTGGGCATTCTTCTATAAAACTAATGGAAGCAGTGTCTCATACCTCTTGGTTTAAATCTGTACTTTTAAGAAACAAAAATCTGTGCATTCTATCTAATATTCTAGAAAGGCTCTTTGCAATTAAAATGCAAAACCAAATACAGACTGAACTTCTAAAATTTATATTTTTTAAACAAATACTTCTCATACACCTGACTCACTAAAGTCTTTGTTCTAGCCAGCCGTTTAAATTTTCAGTTCATATTTTATTTTATTTTATTTATTTATTTATTTTTTAAGATTTTATTTATTTATTTGAGAGAGAGAATGAGATAGAGAGAGCATGAGAGGGGGGAGGGTCAGAGGGAGAAGCAGACTCCCCGCCGAGCAGGGAGCCCGATGCGGGACTCGATCCCGGGACTCCAGGATCATGACCTGAGCCGAAGGCAGTCGCTTAACCAACTGAGCCACCCAGGCGCCCCTCGGTTCATATTTTAAACCAATATAATTAATCTGTAGACTATATGATGTTTTGTTTTACAAAAGAGGGGGGTGTGGATGTGTGTTTTAAGATTTATAATTTTTTTTAAGATTTGTTTCTCCTCATATAACAATTATTCATTTGAGAAACCATTATTTTCTGTTGTGAAAGGCACCTGAAATCTGTAGTTTCCTCTAGTAGTTCTTTGACCTGGTGTAGAGCACTCAAATAAAACAATTAGGTGAAATTCAGTTAGAGATTTCATGGAGTTTTGTCTCATAAATGTCCATAAGACACTTCACTTTAAGTAAGATACCCGCCCACCCCCCCATACACAAATGATCCAGGGGCCAAGTGAAGAAGTTTGACTACAGTTCTGGTCAGCCATCTTCCTAAGAGCATCTCTGTCTTGACACATAGATCACTCCTCCCTTGGGGCGTCTGGTTGGCTCAGTTGCTAAGCGTTCGGCTCAGGTCATGATCCCAGGGTCCTGCGATCAAGCCGTGCATCGGGCTCCCTGCTCCACGGGAAGCCTGCTTCTCCCTCTCCCTTGTGTTCCCGCTCTTGCTGTCTCTGTCAAATAAATAAAATATTTTTAGAAAAAAAAAATGTCCTATTCATAGGTGAATTATTTGACTCATCCACCTAGCCAGTAAGAAGTAATTTTGTTTTATAGAAATATTTAATATTTTATTTAACGAAAATACCTAAATAGGTATTAGAAAGCTAAATAGCTTTCTTGGGAGAGGTAAATTTCAATACCAAAGAGCAGTTTTTAAGCATTGGTTGATGATTGCAACCTTTTGTGCCTAGTTATATTCATTCTGGTCACCTTATATCTTATTCATAGCCTTAATTTAATGAAGAGAGACTTCTGATATTTCGTTATAATAGCTCATATGAATATTTTTTCTTTGATTCCTCTCAAGAACTTTATATCTCAGCAGGGTTAATTTGGAAGTAGATCACACACAAGATTAGTAATTTTTTCTTTTAATTCAGTGGTTATCAGATTTTGCCATGTTTCTCTTCTCTACCAAATATTTTATTAATGCTTCTCAACTCTGTATGCAAAATAAAATTTTGTGGAGGTTTTTAGCTGGGCCTGCTAACCCCCAGAGATTTCAGTTTCATTGATCTGGGGTTGGGCCTGGGCATTGTAATTGTTACAGCTCTCCAGGTGATTCTAATTGGTAACCAAGAACTGAAAACCAATGTGCTAAATCCTACTGTATCCCAAGTAATTGTTTTCTCCCATTTATCTCCTATTCCTTAAAATAATTCTTCTGATTTTCGGTTTTCAGATATCATATTCCCTCCACTCCCCGACTCCACCCAGAGTTGATCCTCAGCAACAGTGGGGAAGAGTGAACATGAGTAAATCCGTAGATGATGAGAAATGATTTTAGTCAGTGGATTTAAACCACCTCTTTTACCAGACCTGCAAATGAGACTACAAATGTACTCAAGTTGACTAATCTGAATTTTTTTTTAAGATTTTATTTATTTATTTGAGAGAGAGAGAGCGCTCAAGCTGGGGGAGCAGCAGGTGGGAGGGAGGGAGAGGGAGAAGCAGGCTTCCCACTGAGCAAGGAGCCCGAGGTAGGGTTTAATCCCAGGACCCTGGGACCGTGACCTGAGCCCAAGGCAGACGCTTAACTGACTGAGCCACCCAGGTGTCCCAACTAATCTGAATTTTTACTACCTGTATATGTTCTTCGTTTTTTGTTTTTGTTTGTTTTGGGGTGGTTTTGTTTTGTTTTGTTTTGTTTTTTGGCACCCTGTCCACCATTGTTAGCAACCAGGAGGTAGCTAATGAAGGCACCATGAGGAGGGCAAGGAGTTCATAATCTCAGTGGGAAGGAAAGAATCAGAGGACCTAGATAATCTATATCTTACATACTAACCCCTAGAAGTGTTAAAGTCTCTGGAGTACATGGGCATAGCGCCTGTTACTTAAGTCGTTAATATGTTCTTTTTTCTCTTTCAGGTATCCAAACTATTGACTCTACCCAGGCCCTGTTCCTTCCAATTGGAGCATCTGTCTCTCTCCTAGTAATGTTCTTCTTCTTTGACTCAGTTCAAGTAGTTTTTACAATATGTACAGCAGGTAAATGAGTTTCTTCTCTCTTCCTAAACATTAACCTAAAAGGAATTTTTTTCACCTCTTTTTAATCATCACTCAAAACTTAAGATTTATATACCATGCCATGCAAATTTTTCTTCTTAAGTCTGTTTTTTTCTCCCCACACTTCTCCTTGAACCACGGGATACACATAGCATCAGTTTGGGACTGCCAGCACAGCCTGAACAAAAGACCAAGGGTTTGAAAATATGTGGGCTTTATGACACCAAAGTAGAACCACTCTGACTGTGGCTCCTTGTCTGGGAGGTAATCAGAAGATCCAGTGTGGCAGAGTGGTCATTTGCAACCCCCACTGATGTTTCTGTAGACAGACACAGTTGATAACTAATCAAAGTAATTTGACTGTCAGCCCCCTGATCAGTTTTTAAGCCAAGAGGTGATGGAAGTGTATAAAACATCAGCAAAATGCTGGACATGTCAGATCATCCCCTGGCCCACTGTTTCTCTTTTCGTATTAAGATAGAAGAGAATGAGAAACCCTAGATGTCTCTGCTTCCCCTACTTCAAATCAGGTACTTCTTTCTTCTCAAGACTATCTGTACAGTGCTAACAGAAGACTTTTTTTTTGTCTCTAGTTAATTAATTGTATCTACTTGTTGAGAAAAGTTTTCTGGGCAATCAGTGTCTCCATAAGTCATGCCATTTTTCTTATGGTTGTTGAAAATAAACAACAAAACTTAACCATATGTTTTCTTTCTTTAGTTCTTGCAACAATAGCTTTTGCTTTCCTCCTCCTCCCGATGTGCCAGTATTTAACAAGACCCTGTTCACCTCAGAATAAGTAAGGACTTGGGATTTTCCTCTAAATTATTAATTTGTATGTGTTTTTATCTTACAATTGATAGCATTGTTAGGAGTCTAAATTTCTGGTATTGACCAGAACACACAAATGCCAGAAGACTGGGAAGGGGGGAGATGTTTGATCTTTAAGACTGGGAGATGGTACTTCCTTTTGCACCTTTTCATAGCAGAGGAAATGTAAACAAATCTTAGGAAGTCTGAGTTGTTGAAATATGCTTCCTGCTTAGATTACTGAAAGATGAGCAGTTTTATTTTGAAGCAATGCTTTCTTTCCTTTACCTAGGGAGTTAATGGGATGTGAAAATAGTGGTTGACTCAGACATTCTTTGCCTTTCATCTTTGGTGACCTAGAATATATACTAGCCTCTTAGGTTCACACCTTTCACACCTTAACTCCTAAGGCCATTGCTCCATGGAAACAAAATGCTGTGCTAACAGAGATGCTGTATGCACTTAGGAAACCAGGCACTTGGGGCAGCTGATTTTCCCAGGAATTAGTGATAACGAAATAGAGTTATTGCCCGTTTTATAAATGTGTATCTATCATTGCCCAGTGAATTGAAGGGCAATACTTCCTCATTTTGTTTTCCTCGTAAGAACAGAACTTCCCCTATAATGTACTTAATTCTCCAAAGATTGGTGTTGTCACTTTAACTTCTAAACATCCATGCTGATAATTTGGGATAAAAAGTATATCAGATGGGTGCAGAAGTATAATTAATTGCTCGCGTTTCTGTAGCTTACTCCAAGGAGGTTTGGGTATTTTCAAATTCCGGGTGTCTGGGTATTGCCTGCTATTCTCATCTGGCCATTATGAGCTCTGATCATGAAGGACCAAGGTAGAGTTTGGCTATTGAAATATAATGTATTGCCTATTAGTCCAATAAATGATGTGTGTTTTCCAGGATTTCCTTTGGTTGCTGTGGGCGTTTCACTGCTGCTGAATTACTATCATTCTCTCTGTCTGTCATGCTCGTCCTTATTTGGGTTCTCACTGGCCACTGGCTTCTCATGGATGGTGAGTAACATGTGAAAGGTTGAAGTTTTAATGTAGTTTATACAGTTAAATTTGTCCTCCCTTCCTTTGCTTTCTGTGTTTTAGTAATATTTCCTCTGATTACTGTGAATATTAGGTGTCCTTAGGCAGTGTTACATATTGCTGAGTTTTTTATTTTTACGCACATTCTTAAGATACTTTTTAAAGATATTTTTGAATAACCGCTTTTTGAGGAATAATGTACAAGTGTATAAGTGTACAATTCAGTGGGGTTTTTTTAATTTATTTTTTTAAAGATTTTATTTATCTATTTGACAGAGAGATAGAGAACACAAATGGGCAGAGTGGCAGGCAGAGGGAGAGGGAGAAGCAGGCTCTCCGCTGAGCAGTGAGCCGGACATGGGGCTCGATCCCAGGACCCTGGGATCATGACCTGAGCCGAAGGCAGCCGCTTAACGACTGAGCCACCCAGGCACCCCTCAGTGGTTTTTAAATATTCAGAGTTGTGCAGCCATCACTACAGTCAATTTTGGAGCATTTTTATTACCCACCCTCCAAAACCCCATACCCAGCAGTCACTCCCCATTTCCCCACCTGAGCCCCAGGCATCCACTAATCTATTTTCTCTCTCTGTGGATCTGCCTCTCCTGAACATTGCACATAAAATCATACATTATATGACCTGTGTGTCTGCCTTCTTTCACTTAGCATGATGTTTTCAAGGTTCACTCATGCTATAACCTGAATCGGTACTTCATTTCTTTCTCTGGCCAGTACTACTCAGTTGCATAGCTATGCCACTTTTATTTATACATTCATCAGTTGTTTCCGCTTTTTTGGCTATTATCAATAATGCTGCTATGAACATTCATGTACACTTTTTTGTGGAGACTATACTTTCTTACATAAATGGAATAATACTGTAATATATATAAATATATATGTGGAATATATGTCATGTGTTATATATGATAGACTTTATGTAATGATATAAATACATGTTTATATCATTACATAAAGGTATAGCATATCCTTCTTAATAATTCCAGAATATTCCATTTTATGTTACTTAACTATTGCTCGACCCTTAGATTGCTTTTAATCTTCTGTTATAAATAACCCCGAGGTAAACATTCTTGTTCCACCTCTGGATACACATGTCAGATTAGTTAATATGATTATTTCTGTGGATGAGTTCCTAGATATGAAATTCCTAGATCAGAGGATTTTTGTATTAAAAATTTTTTTTTTTCTCTATTACTGTACTGCCTTTCAGAAAGGTGGTAGCAGTTTACACTCCTGCCTGTAGCGCATGAGAATCTCTCTTTGTTGATGATGATGATAAGGATGAACTAAGAATGGCAGGAGGAGCTAACATTTATTGAGTGCTATGCATTGGGCACTTTCTTGGATGTTTACATGGATTATCTCATTTAATCCTGAAAAGTCTTTGAAGTAGATACGTCTGTTGTTCCCACTTGACAGAAGAGGAAACAGGTTCAGAGAAGTCCCTTACCCAGTCACAGAACTCTTGTGTATATTTCATACTTCTCATCAGAATATCTTGGAGGGACATTTCCAAAAATCCCCCATTATTCTTTTCTCTCCCTTAAGACATTTTAAAACTTTTCTTAAAGACCACATAAGCCTCTCCACCTCCTTTTTCATTCAGTCCTTACTTTCACTTTCACAGTTCACTTTACTGATCTCAAGAAGCTTTATCTAACTGCTCTGCCCTACAAGGTCTGTTCACTTTTTCCTTTCTTCTGGTGTTTCAGAAGAGAAGGAGGTTAAAATACAAAAGACAATTTTATACAATTTGTAATACTATCTAAGGAATATTTAAGGGAGGAATTTGAAAATCAGATGATGGGTATAGATTGCACTTATTCCTATTACCCATTCCAAATGAACACAAGGTTAATCAAGACTTTGGAAACAGGGCTCTTTGGAGGCTCCTGTTCACTAAGGCACTGTGTCCTCGCAGCTCTGAGGATGACTCAGCTATGGTAGAACTGTCACTCAGTGTCATCTAAGCACAGAGCCACCCAGAGGATGCTCCCTGTCCATGTCTCAATTCAGGAGTAGCAAACATTTGTGTCACAATGTTCTGCTCATGGTCAAATCAGATAGAATTTGACAAAAAGGGTTTTAAACTGTGTGCACATGTGTGTGTGCAATCCAGAATCAGTAATATAACCTTGATAAGGAAGTAATTTTAAACCTTGAGGAAACTAAAAACTTAACCTTTTGTTTCAAGGGATTTTTTTTTTTTCCCTCGTAATTTACTTTGACTAGTTCAGGGATTTGAAATTTATGTGTGCCAAGTTAAATGGTGAAATGGAATATTATGAGGGAACAGGCTATCAAGTGGGTTGAGAGCTCTGTAAAGCTATATTAAAATGGCACGTTATTTTAACCCACGGTGATAATTATGGAGAAAGGACTTTTCAAATTGTAAACCATACAAGTATCTGATAAACTTCTTCAGCAAAAAATACTTTTAAAAAAATAATAAGAGGGCACCTGGGTGGCTCAGTTGGTTAAGCGACTGCCTTCGGCTCAGGTCATGATCCTGGAGTCCCGGGATCGAGTCCCGCATCGGGCTCCCTGCTCAGCGAGGAGCCTGCTTCTCCCTCTGACCCTCCCCCTCTCATATACTCTCTCTCATTCTCGCTCTCTCAAATAAATAAATAAATCTTAAAAAAAAAAATAAGAATTACAGCGATGGAGAACAGGTGAGTGGTTGCCAGTGGTTATATATTTATAATTTTATAAATACATAATTTATTTGTATATATTTATTGTCATAGTTGTTGTTCGTTGCTTTTTTTGAGTGCGGTCTACCATATACCAACCTATTGAAACTCAAAAGTAGTTCCTTGAGGTTGCGGATCAAATTACCTCTTAGATTTATATAGAGACCTTTAATGAGTTGGAATGGAAGACAGAGTCAAAATCACCAATGCCTGACTGTGCGGTATTCACATATGCTGATTTCTGACAGATTTGGTCACTTGTTTTAGCTTCTTAAATTGCCTTGTAAAAAACATTTCTGTGACCATTTGCTTTGGAATGTGTATAAGCATCCTGAAGTATGCAGTGTTTTTAAGTGGTTATCAGCACTATTCATTTTCCCAAATCGAGTATCAGTGCTTTCAGTATTCCTACGGATTGCTGTTTGATACTTCAGTGCTTGTGGAGGTTGATAAAGAATAAGTTTGAGAAAAAGAAATTACATCTAAAGTCATGCAAGTTGCTTGCCCAGCTTACGGTAGAAGAGTGAAGGCCCATTTTTATATACTAGGCATTACTGATAAATACCAGGTGTGTACATTTGAGTTTTCCTGAGATTAACTCTTGATTTCTTCAGAATGACTTAACCTAAAAGCATATAGGTCATTTTGAAAGACTTTAATAGAGCCTAATCTCTTTTTAAATCTGTGTTATGGACAATTAAGGAGTCTTAGTCATGATAATGATTGGAGTAGGGATAGTAAATATTAGTCCAAATCAGCCTCATAGCTGCTTTTATGATTATATCCTTTAACCTCACCTAAACCAGTGCTTCCTGATGAGGAAACAAGCAGCACAGATATTTCTCCTCTACTACTTCTGAACAAAAACTATTTAGAAATGCTGGTTGGTTAATATCTAAACCAGATTATTTCAGTCCGTTTAAAATGACTGGAGGACTGTTAGCTATATACTCTTAAAAGAAAGTGTTTATGCTGATGTCCTTAAATGGAAGAGTCCACTCCCATAAATATTACACATAAATGATCTCCCTATACAAATATTATGTTAAATGAGACGACAGAAGCTTCAGGTGCCACTTTTTTGACTAGAGTAATATAAGACAGTCATCACCTAACCAGACTGATTAGTCCCAAAGCCAGCAGACTCAAAGTCCAGATGATGACAGATGGTATTAAACTTGAAGTCTCTCAGCCCCCTCTGAGGTTCTTTATAACCCCACTTACTTTCGGTGGCTCTGTTTTCATGGAACTCTTTATTCATGTGTCCAGACACACAGGATACTATTTATAGGTTTTGCTACGCGTTTTAAGTTTACCAAGCTGCTGACCCAAAAAGATTAGGTAACTTTTCGAAGCAGCAAACGATGTGTTGTTTATACTCTCATCTCTACTCTTCCCAAGCATTGAGTAGAACAGAAAAATACCTATTTTCTCGTAGTATGTAACTAAAAAGGAAAAGGTTGGCATTGGAAGGTGACATTCTTCTCAAAATGCACTGATTGACACAGCCATCTGAGACACATACTTCAGAACAAGTCAGCAGAATTTTGCTCATTGTACTTCTGCAGGCAGGGCCAGAGCCAGGCTTACCAGATTCACTAACAGAAGAATGAGATAAGGTAGACTGCAGAGTCCGTTGCACTACAGGATTTCCTCTAGACTGTAGAGTCGGTGAGAGCTGCCCTTACAAGACAACTTTCTTTTCCCAGTGATCACTATGAGAAATACATTTCCATCCTGAAATTCACCTGATAGCTAAAATTCTATGTCAGTGAGGTTCCCCAAACCCCATTTAGCCCCAACGTGTAGACATTTATATCCCCTTCTGTCAGTATTGCTGGTCCCCCAAATTTACTTGTCTAGGAGTCTCTTCTCCCTACTGGTTTGCACTGGTTAAACTGCCCTTGTGACCAAGAATAGAGTTCTCCCCCTTCCCCACCCCCCAAAAAGGGAAACCTTTGAGCTTTTTTAAATTCTCAGACTCTAGTGTTTGATGTGTGTGTGACTTGTTTTCTGCTGTTAAGAAAATGTAGCTTTCTAGCCATGGTCTTTAATGTTTTGAAACTTGTTCTTCTCTGACATGGAAATTATCTTTGTAGACTTCTCTGCAGAATCAAAATCATCGTAAGCAGTGATAATTTGGTATTAGAATTTTTTAAATGAATGGTAGTAGAATTTTTTAAATGAATGTTTCTTAATGAAAGCCTGTTCTTTGAAGTTAATTTAGAGTGAAAACAGAGTGATAAATGTGGTTGTTTTAGGGCAAGGCATGAAGTATATTTTCAAGCTTATATACTAAAAAACACCAATAGTAAGAAGAGACTTTGCATGTTCTTGAACTTATAAACCTAGAGTTTTTTTTAATCGACTTTCACCTTCATCTGGCAAATTAACCTTTCAAATTTGGGAAGCCTTGAAAGAATGTGACCATTCACATTATGGGTGGTGTGGTACATTAGCTAAAAGTTGATGAATCTTGTGCACACACATTTACTGTTCAAAGATCATTAAACCAGGTCCACAGTATACGTCCACTAACCAGTTCAGGGACTAGAAGTCTTGAACAGATGTCTAGCCCAGCCCCTCATTTAATACACTTGTTATTAATCTATGGTTAGAAAACATGCAGTGTCAAAAATCTAGTAATTGTTTTCTTGTTTTAAAATGCTAGACTCTGGCATTTAGTCCACATAGGGCTAAGATAAAGGCTCTACAGATCCTACAGTACCGAGCACTGCTTAAGATCTTATAGGTTACATGTTCCTTTTCAAGAACATTTCGCTCAGTTCGGTGTCATTGTCTTTGTCCCTGGCCCTACTGGTCATGGAAGGCAAAGTGACACACAGATTCTGTCAATAATACGTTGAAAGTAATTTTAGATAGCTGGCTAAGATTAATAATTTACTTCTCTTAACACTTTTGGTTAATTTACATTTAACCAAAAGTTAAGGTTGTTAGTAAAGCTATTTGGGAGAGTCTTGAGTTTCTCAAGCAGCATGGAATGAGGGAAAGTTACGGCTCCTCTTCATTTTGGCTTGGAAAAGTCCTAAGGAGGAGGTAAGACTTTGAAGGGTTATTTAAATGAAAGCATGAAGAAAAAGAGAGGCAAACTAGATGAATACTTGTGTTTCAGGGATGTGACAGATTGTGGTAATATTCGTTTGGGGGTAGGAGGGATACTTACTGTCTGAAAGAGTCAGGAGATGCATTCTGCCTCTTCAAATGTGGGACTCACAGCACAGTGGGGCTGCTTGGTTGGCATGACTGCAAGAGGGTATCACTCAGCTTAGCTGGAGATGAAAGAGTAGCTGAGGAATGGGAGCAAAGGAAAACAGACTCTGAAGCCTCACTGTCCTGTGAATTGTGCCCAAGGCTGTGGGACTTGTGATTAGACTGGATCCGTCACAGAGTAGGGAACCTAGTACCATATGCAGGAAATGCGCAGTGACTGTTTCCAGTGGCAGTGAAGAGTAAGTGGGAGAGAGCCAGAGTGGGAAAGGACACGTGCCAAACTAGAGGTGTAGGGAGGCATGAACAGGTGTACTGTGACCACAAAGGGTGGCACCAGAATGGCTGCAGCGTGAGTGTACATGATGAAAGACTGTGATAAACTGAAAATGGACCCAGTGTTTCTAGTTTGGAAGATGAGAGATCAAATGGCATTGTCTGGAGTCATGGACAATCCTGTTACTGAGCAGTTCTGTCTTGTCCATGGGTGGTTTCCTCTCACGTGGGGTAGGATTCGCATAAGAGGAGTGGCAAAGCAACAAGTGGATGCTTAGACCGTATGGCTGGAAAGGCTCCTGCCAGTTTAGGATTAAGTAACTGTGTGATCAGTTGAAAAGTTCTGGAATGGACCAGTCACCTGCGTGTGTCACAGAGGCATATACATTTAACCATACCCCACTTTCAGGTATCATCAGTCCACTGACCTTCACTGGCCATATGCCTGTCCCTTGTCTGTCCATCTCAGGCCTTCATTTCTTCCTGTGTTCCCTTGATGCACTTTGCACTCCACATACACACTTCTAAATTCCTGAACAGATCACTTATTGTTCCCCTACCACCATCACCCCTGCGTCTGCCCCCGGGGCTTCCCACCCTCCACTGACCACTGTTGTTCTTCAAGCCAGCTGAGCTTATCCCTGCCAGCGTCCTATGTATTGATTCACCGCACAGCCCTCTTTGTTTCCGAAGATCATTATAATGGAAAATCTCATTATTGAAAAATGGGTATGGGTTGATTATATCAGGGGCCTTGGTTGTTTCTGTAAATTTATAAAAAAGGAGACCCTAGTAAAATGAGCACATCCTAGATTATTGTAGAATCAGAAATTGTTTGACCACATCTCTCCAAAACATATAATGCGCACACCATGGAGATTAGTGACCACTTGATAACAGTAATGACAGAGGGGGAATTGAGATCGTTTGTTCTTCTTCCCAGTTTTAGTGCGTCTTCCAGGGATGGGAATGGTTTTTCTCCTCTTTTGTTTGTGCAACACCATTTTCACAGTAGGAACTCACCAAATATTACTTGAATTGATGTGTCCGGGGTCCACCAAACTGCTGTATTTGCCCACTTAGCTACATGTATTGACAATTTACTACCAATTCTATTAAAATGATACCCATCTGTAATACGGCCTTACTTGCTTTAGAATACTTTCCTTAGAATAATTTGAAATTTAAAGTAGAACGTAATTTTTTCATTCAGCAAATATTTATTGAATGTCTACTCTATCAAGTGCTGGGGCTTCCCAGAAAGAATAAGGCATGGTTTCTGTCTACCAGGAGCACCAAGTTTAGGGAATAAATTCACTTTTATAAAAATTAATCACACTGTTAGAGAACGGATGAACAAGTTGAGAGAGATTCAAGTTCTGTGGCATCATGGGGGGGGGGGTGGTACTTAATCTGATTAGATCAGGAAAGACTTCCCTGAAGAGGGCCTTTTGTGGAGAACAGGAAGGAACATAGTGGTGTTGAGAGGTGTGATCATATTTAGGTGGCTAGAGAACAGGGCCACACCACTGCATGCTGAGGGCAGGGGACTTGCACAGTAGAGAGCACCCTCCCTTACATCCCTGTCAGTGCCCAGCCAAGTTGTTTGACCTTCATCCCACTGTGAGAACCCACAGGAAGTGTAGAAGCAGCTATGTGGTCTAATCAGACCTGTGTTTCAGAAGAGTGGAGGAGAGCCGAAGGCAGGGAGAGACCATCTGCCTGACCTGTTCTAGTCTCGTGGGATGCATCAGGGAACCATGCCTTTAAGCACCTGGCATTTTAGTTGAGAGGAGAGAGAATTTAAATACACATATATAGCGCATATGTCAGATTTTCAGAGGTGTGAGGAAAAAAAATAATAAGGCCAGGATAATAAATAAAAGGGGATGTGATCTCAGGTGTGGGCAAACCATGTAAAGTCAGGAGCAAGAAGGAAGGATTCTCAGGGATGGGGGAGGCAAGAAAGAGCTAAGAAGTCCCAAACTGGGCCTGGCCGAGAGCTTTATCATTCAAAACAGAACCTGGATCTTACACAGTTGAGCACTATCCAAGAACATGAAAAAAGGGATGTTCCCAAAGACCAGCAGGTCAAAATTGTCTAAAGTGGGCACTTTGCACAAGTAGGGTATAAATGTCTTAAATTGGGGTTTAAACTGAGCTGCTTGATTTTTGAGGGGACTTATAAACTGTTAGGTTTATAAGCAGAATAGCTTGTGGAAAGACGATGAGCCCATTGGTCCACACTGACCAATGTCTGTGGTCTCCTCCCCAGCCCTGGCCATGGGTCTCTGTGTCGCCATGATCGCCTTTGTCCGCCTGCCCAGCCTCAAGGTATCCTGCCTGCTTCTCTCAGGGCTTCTAATCTACGATGTCTTTTGGGTAAGTGTCTGTTTCCCTGAAGCCACCACTCTCTCTTGTGTTTAATTGGAGCATTCATTCCTGAAAGTTCTTAACTGTAAGTATCCAAATGCTGGCTGGCTGGAGTACCTCCTGCCTAAGATCACTCCCTCTAGTCCTGAACTGCACACATTAAAAGGTGAGCAGGCATCTGTCCGCGCCTTTGTTTGTTGAGACGTGTTAAACAGATAGTACATGTGTGTCTCTCGGGGTGAGGGAGAGAGCAGGCAGACAAGATTCTCTGCCCTGGGAGCACAGATTTTCTTTCTCCTCCAAGCTTGCCGCCAAAAAAGCTTTATGTTGCAGTATTCTGAGACTTTGCTCTTAAGAACAGGGAGGGCTGATGCTGAAATCAGGATGTTTCCAGCTTCCTCTGTTAAAGACGTCTCTCCATTCGGCATTTGGCAGGTGTTTTTCTCTGCCTACATCTTCAATAGCAATGTCATGGTGAAGGTGGCCACGCAACCGGCTGACAATCCCCTTGATGTTCTATCCCGGAAGCTCCACCTGGGGCCCAATGTTGGGCGTGATGTTCCTCGCCTGTCCCTGCCTGGAAAACTGGTCTTCCCAAGGTAGGACCGGCATGTCGGGCCTCATGTTGTGACAGTGAACACACGGTCTCCCTGTGCCTCTGTGTTCGAACCTTGATTAGCCTTTGTCATCAACATTCTTATCCTAGACTGGAAGAGGGTTGTGAGTCATCCTCTCCACTTTACAAATGAAGAGGAGAATACTGATTTGACTTGGAAAGATTTATCATTAAATGATACAGGTGCTGCTTTTTATTACTGATTAATGTTATCAAACAGTGGTATGTTGCTACTATTACCATATTTTAGAGTTGGCTGGAGGAAATTAACAGGAGAATCTGGATCTTTTTTACTTATAAAACATTTGTAAAAACATGTCCTAATGCTAAAATTACACAATTGCTGATGATACAATCTTGGAAAAAATTGTATTGCTTTAATATCCATGTCTGATAGTAGTCAGGTGCTTGTTTAAAGTCACAGCAGCGAATGTGTGACAAATACTGAATTGCCTGACATTTCTGGAGGTGGCAGTACTTAAACAGATGACTTTAGCAGTCACTTTAGGGGTGCTGTCCTGAATCAGTGAGGGGCCTGGTTGAATACGTCTGTGGCCAGTACTCTGGTGGCTTGTAATCGCTGAACTCTTAAAAACCAGTGTTGTTTCACCTCTGGAGATTTCCATCTCCCATTCAGATAAGTCCAACTTCTTAAAAAGCTGACAGACGACTCTGCACAGGAGGAGGAGAAATGGGATTGTTGAGGGTGGCATCCCTGACCTATGACACTACATTCCAGCTCCACTGGCAGTCATTTCTCTATGTTGGGCATTGGGGACATCGTGATGCCTGGACTCCTGTTGTGCTTTGTCCTTCGTTACGACAACTACAAAAAACAAGCCAACGGTGACTCCTGCGGTGCCTCGGGACCTGCCAATATCTCTGGACGCATGCAGAAGGTCTCCTACTTTCACTGCACCCTCATTGGATACTTTGTAGGTAAGAGAGAGCCAGAGAGCCTGTGTGTGATGTCCTCTGTGATTGTCCTCCAAGCCCTGGAGTTAAATCAGGTCTTCCAGCTGCAGACACTAGATGGAAGGAGAGCAGTAACTCTGTTTGCTCTTGTAGACAGCCACAGAGAAAGAATAACAGTGGCCCATGAACGACAGGTGCTGTCTGTACTGGGAGCCCAGTTCCCTGTCCAACAGCATGTCTGAAGAACGTTGTGGGAAGATGTTCTAACAGTGATCTAACATGTCTGTCACCTCTAACCTCAGACTCCCTGGGCCAGTCTTTCTCTAGCCAGCTCACTTCTACACAGACAGGGAGAGGCCCACGTAATGGGACTATGGGAGGAGCGGGAGCCTGTCTGCATCTCCAGTGGCTGCAGCACGGTGGAGCATTTCAGCACTCAGGCTCAGAGCCCCGTTGCAGAGTAGAGGCGGCTGAGGCTCAGAGGGTTGAAGCACCTCGACCCAGGTGACACCGCTTGCAGAAGCAGCATAGTCGGAACTTGACCCCAGCTCGTTTGCCTCTGAGTCTGGCATTATCTACCACATGAGACAGGAGGACCAGGCACACTCAGGGAAGAGTGAGGGCTTGGACCAGGAACCTAAGCACCGAGTGGGGCTTGGGCCGCTCACCGGTCCTTGGAACTGTAAGACTTTCAAAGCTGTGCTGCTCCATGCTGGGCAGAGATCACAAGCTGGGCCTCTCACTGGGCCTCCCACTGGACGGCATGCGTCACAGGAGAGCTGTCCGATCAAGACCCTGGCAGGCAGCAGCCACATAGCAGGCTGTCCTCTCTGAGGGCTGACACCTTGGTGTTGCTCATGAATGTGTCTCCCTTCATAGGTCTGCTCACTGCAACCGTGGCGTCCCGCATTCACCGAGCGGCCCAGCCCGCCCTTCTCTATTTGGTGCCATTCACCTTATTGCCGCTCCTCACGATGGCCTATTTAAAGGTGAGAGAAGCAGTTAGAAACCTGTGAAAGCAGTAATTTGGCATTGACCCTGGACTTCGGTATGTATTCTCCTTGCCGGAGGTGGGTCTGCCCCCGGAGCTCTTGACCTTGATGGTGGGTCGGTGGGTCTTTGCTCACCTGGTATTAGCAACTCCTTCCAGCCTGTTGCAGCCACTGGCAGAAAATGCTAGGGCGTTAGACTGCTACGCCTCCCAGTCATGGGTGAACTAACTGAAATCCCTAGAGCCCAGCTACAGAGACTTCCCTTAAAAGCAGCACCATATTGTCACCTAATAGCTTTTTTAATACTCAGCATTAAAATTTGGAGATACTGGGCACCTGGGTGGCTCAGTTGATTAAGCAACTGCCTTCGGCTCAGGTCATGATCCCAGGGTCCTGGAATCAAGTCCCACATCGGGTTCCCCCTGCTCTTTGGGGAGCCTCCTTCTCCCTCTGCCTGCCGCTCCCCCTGCTTGTGCTCTGTCAGATAATAAAATCTTAAAAAAAAAAATTGGAAAAATTTAAGAAATGTATGATTACAGCTAGACTTGGAGCATTACCTGATTTACAAGATTTGTATTATCCCCGTTTTATAGAGGAGGATGCAGAGAGGTAAACTAACTTGGCTTTAGCATCTCATAACCTTTGCTGGAGGGGCCTAAGAGCTCTTCTAGTGAGTTCTTCAAGGAATGGTGGGTTACTTTTCAGTGAGTAAAATTTGAATGTTCTTTGATTCTCCACAGAAGCCGTCTGATCTGAGATCAAGAATCAGAAAGGACTCATAGATGTGTGTGGCTCATGTTTAAATCCGTAACTTAGTAAAGTTCCTTCTTCCCCAGGGTGACCTTCGGCGAATGTGGTCTGAGCCATTCCACTCCAAGTCCAGCAGCTCCCGATTCCTGGAAGTATGATGGATCCCAGAGAGTGACCAGAATGACCATCTGAGTCCTTTTCTGTCAACGCGTGGTTTTGTTTCCTCTTAGAGCTGGCCTGGTACTTGGAGATGTACCTGTATAGGGAACTGACGTGTGACTGGATTTTGCGTTTGCAGGGAGCTTGTTTGCAGGAGCGAGGTGCTGGAGCCCTGCTTGGTTCTTTCTCTTCCTGCCGTTGTAGAGGCGGATCCCCTCCTGAAGTGACAGGCCCTCCCCAGCGCTCCTTCCTCCCCCGTTTTTATGAACCTGCACCAGACTGTTACCTGTGGGGGATGGAGATATGACTGCTTAAAACTGACCACGGCGAGGAGTCGTTCTATACCTTTTGAACACTAAAAGGATGAAAAATATTAGCAAACCGAAGTTTCTTCAGTGAACCCTCAAGAACTTTGGGACCAGTTTCCTATGGGGGACTCCGTTTCAGAGAACTAAGACAGAAGAGCTTCTGTCGTTATATTCTTTCCTTTTTCTGGATTTATTAAATATTTTCTGTGGTGTGAAGTGACTTATTAAATCCACAGACATTGAGTGACTTCTTACAACATACACAAGAATTTGTTGTAATGAGTTCATGTCCACCCAGATGTTGTGTTGGCAGTGAACAAGGGCACGGTTTTTATACATACACACACGCACACATCAATATATATGAATAAACAAGAATTAAAACCTGCTAAGATCATGCTGTGTAGCAGACAGGGACTTGCTGTAATTTTTAGCATGTAGAGCAGTTTACTCCGGCTTCCTTGTATATGGATATGCTGCTGTCTCTCCCCTCCACAACTGAACGTGCAGTTAAAAACCAGTATAGTATTCGTACTGATATACTCATGGACTTTTGGGGGCTCGCATTTGGTTTTGATCAGTGTAGCCAATTAGGGATGAAAAGTTCAAACTTTTTGGCCCTTTTTTTTTGTTTTGTTTTTACAGGCTTCTCCCTTGCAGGGTTTTTAGTAGTTTCTTCTTGAACCAATGCATGTAATATAGCAGCAGGTGTCTTTGTGCTTTCTGATCATAGTAATGTACTACTTGTAAATACATTTTTCTATTTTCTATTGTTTTTGTATTTTTTTTTTTTTTTGGCCTTTTGTTTCATTGGTGTGCTGTATTCTCCATGCCCTCACTCCTTGAAGAAAAAAAAAGGAAAAAGCAACATGATCCTGTCCTTGCTGTTGTGATTATAGTCTTGGTTTACCTGTGGTGACAACTGGGTATTGGGGACAAATGTCAGATGCCCCTCTGAGCTGGGCCCTACGTTCCAGGCACGGCAAGCTGCTCTGTCCCCTTAGCATTTGACCGTGTGCTGTGGTCTTTGCTGGAGAGCCAGCGTTCTGGTAGTAACTAGTGTGATCATGTCAGCTTGCTTTTGTCTCAGCAGCCCCGGCCTGATAAAAAATGGCCCATTGTAGAGGCTGAGAGAAGCCTGGCTACTTGACAGCAGAGGTGGGAGGAGGGCCCACATGTCCTGCTCTCTCCCTTCAGCAGGTGACCTGCCTCTGCTTTGACCTGTGCAATGAACCGGTGTGCTGTGCTTCCCCGTGGACAGAGCTCATAGGCGGTGCGTGTCACGTGGTCATGGGGTCATAAAGTGATCAGGACGGTGCGTTCCTCTGTTGTGTCTTCAAATTCTGCTGAGGGCTGTTTTTGTTTTTTGTTTTGTTGGTTTTGTTTTTGTTTTTTAATAAATGACTCCTTTCTAGCCTTTGTCACCTCATCTTCACTTTTGGTGGTTGGTACCACACAGAGCTCCCGTCACCTCCTACCTGCTACGCCTATTCCAGAAGACGGATGGGAAGACCCTGTCTGTCTTCAGACAAGGTCACCTGTGGCTCTGGTTCATTTCAGTCCTAGAGATGTCAAAGAACGGAAGCTTCCATTGTCCACAGAGCTCAAAACAGCCTCTGGATTTGGTGAAGACCAAAGGTACACTTACTTGTTTGCTCGTTGCCTATCAGCTGTACTTTTTCCTTAGCCCTGCAGGATGCTAATGGCTAATTAAAAGGGGCAGGGGCTGGGGAACTCTTCCAGAATGACTCCAATTAAGGGTAAGTGCCAATAATGGTTAGAAGTATTATCGTGGCAGTTGGTCATTTTGATTTTTCTAATCTTTTCATAAAAAAACTAAATTCCAGACAGAAGGAAGATAATTTTTTGTCATCCTTGCTCCCGTGCAGGTTTAGGAGGGAAAATACCCTCATGAGTCACCTGGATGTAATTTGGATCCCTAGCTGCTAGTCCTCAAAGCCTTTAAAACTTAGGCAGAGGAACCACAAATACTCCTTTTGTTTTAATTTAACCACAGAGGACACGTTAGAGTTTCCCCTGGTTCTGGAAGTAGTGGGGGTGTGGGGGGTGCTGCATTTACAGCACACGATTTCGGTCTTTCCTTACAGTCTTCTCCCCTCCCCTGCCTGATACAGATTTATGTCTTCATCTTATTTTTTTTTTCTGGTTTCTCAGATGTTCTGAGTTCTGTGGTCTTCTAAGAAGTCTTTGCATTAGGCAAGGAATGTTGACAAAGTTCTAGCACAGACTGCCTTCCTTCCCTACTGGTCCGGGGCGCTTCCTCCTCTAAAGAGACTGAATGCTGGAACTCTCATAGTAACTTTATTCTAATTTGAGCTAATGAGGATAGGACAACAAAGTTTATCCAAAGCCTAGTATGTTCCATTACTGTTATTACAGCTCTGCTTTTCTGAATAAGATAGCAACACAATTCCTTGTGTAGGGACAGTTCAAACCAGAACTGGAGGGTTTGGGAGGGGGTAGGCTACTATCTGAATTACCTTTGCAGCATGCCAGCACAAGCCTTGGTTAAACAGGTAAGTTATGTTACCCGTAAGAGAAAAGACTAGTTCTCTGTGAGGGTGGAGGGAAGGGAGTTCTGTTTTGTCAATAAAGTGTCAAAAATAGAATCTTTCGTGCCGGCATGGCAGCTCTCAACGTTACCGTAACCAGACCCAGTGTTGTATGTAGACATTTGTGTTTGGTAAAGGCCAACATTTACGTCAGAGCCTTGGAATGTAGCCGTTTTGTATATACATGAAGCACACTCATCAAGAATGTCAACTGCAGTTCTCCTTCTCCATAGAAGCAGGGCAGACAGTAGAGGCTCAGAAGGAAAGCAGCCCATCCTACTTCTGGTCTTCCAGTGCATACTGGCCTGGACAGCCTCCTCCCTTCACGCACACTGCCTTGGCAATTTCCACCAATGAAATCACTTCAAGAACAATGGCCTTTAACACAGGTGGCAGCCTTGCCCCGGAGTCTCTATGATAAGTCCTGCAGATCTGGTCGTAGAACTCAGGCCTCTTCCCTCTTCTGGGACGGATAAGCCAGGTAAGAGGTTTTTTACCCAGAAATTATTTCTATTCCTGTGCAATTTATAGACTGCTTTCTGTTTGTAACACTGAATGAACACTTCTTCAGGTTCGGACTCTTAACTCCTCATGTGTATGGAGCCTCTCCCAGAACAGTACGTGGGCTATTCCTCCTTGCAGCGGTGTCAGCCATAATTTGTTTCCTCTTCATCATTTCCCTTGGAATTCAAAGCCCTTTCCCATCCATTGTGGTAGTTTCAGAGTTGTTTCATCTTAAGCTGTGTCAGGCACTGGGTGCTCCGGGGAACAAAACCAAATAGCTGATCCCTACTCTAGTGGCCCATTGCAGGGGTGCTTTACCACGCTGGACATGTGGGGAACGTGGTGCCCATACACGAGGTCACTCAGCAACACAGCATTGAGTTCGAGAGAGAGTGTCAACCTGAAATTGTCAGGAGGCAATAATTAAGCACAACTACTTATTTGGGATCAAAGAGTTGCAATTTGGGGTACACAGATTCAGGTAGCAATCCAAATAGTGTCCCACTAGGAAGCAAAAACCAGGGTTTTGTGTTTTTTTTTTAAGAGCATCTATATTTACAAAGTATTCTCATTGGTGGCGGCAGAAGACTAATCTTGGCTGAACATAATTGGTTGCTAAGGCTGTCTCCCAAAGCAAAAGTCTGTTACTGTAGGAAGCTGCAGATCCGTGCAGAGTCCTTGGGAGGATCTGTGGTTTAGCCCAGTTCAAAAATTATGGTTCCATCCAGTAAGGACGTGCATAAGGCCCACCTCCTTAATGGCCTCCCGGCTCCTTTTAAAACCCCTTGACATAAGTGATTTTATTCCACCTTTGACAAGTGGAATCTAGAGCTTTTGGTCCATGACTCTGGGCGTTTCCTGTAAATAGCAAAGGCACAGCTGGGAATGCTCGTTCGTAGGACTGGATCCACCCGACTAACAAAGTGGAAAGCAGGACTATAAATGCTCCTTTTTCCTGCACCATGGTGCAGGAGAAGCCTGGTGCTCCTGACCAAATGTATAAACTACAGCTGAAAGAAGCACTGAGCACATTATCTCTATGTAGCATGGTTTAGAAATCTTACTAAGAGCCAGCAGTTCAGTTGTGGAAATCCTCACTTTATGCTGTGCTTTCTCGTAGTGATCACTTTTGTGTGCTATAGAGCTCTTAGGTATTTATTAAAAATTCATGTGGCCGACTCAGGCTTAGTTTATGGCTCCTCTGATTTGGATGCTGCCTAGTCATTTAAGTTCCAAGAAGTCTAGCCCTTGTCAAGTAGGAACTGTGTAACTTGCCACTGGTTTGCAAGTGAACAGTGTTCCTGAGAGGTCCTGAAATAGAGGAATCCATGAGCTTGCTCCAGCCCCCCCAGAGTCCTGGGATTCTCACTAGATCCCAAGAAGACAGAGGAACGGGAACCAGTTAGGAGAGGAAACAAGGCTTGAGACCGGGAGGTGGGAAATCTGCCAAGCAGTGGGCTTTTGCCTTGTGAGGAATGAAAGACAGGAAGTGGGTGTCCAGAGGACAAAGAGATGGAGAGGGGGCAGCAAGGTGGCTGTGTGCCAGCATTCTGGCCTCAGGATTCTGAGTGCCAGTTCCTCTGCCTTGCCAAACACGCTTGCTCCAGGCAAGTTACCTAGCCACCTTCTACTGAGACCGTTCACTCAACCTGCCTGGACTTTCTGAGATGCGTAGCACTTGCACCTAACTTTTAGCCTGTGTGGTTGAAACTTTTCCACTGAAGACCGTGGATTTCCTCACTCTTCCAATTGGTGGTGTAGCTTGTTTGTTTGGGGTGTTTCTGCAGGTTTATAGTAGCTCATCCTGGGGCAGCTGGGCCCAGCTTTAACAGCAGCGTGGTAAAGCACCCCTACAATGGGCCACTAGAGGAAGGAAAGACAGGAGAAGAGTTCTGGTTTAGTTAATAGAGCAGCTAAAGAACTGGGACGTCTTAAAGATAGAAATGTACATTCCCCAAGGCTTTCAATACCAAGATGATCTCAATAGTGAGAGGTAGGAAAATGACTCACATGTCAGCAGTCAGCCTCACAAAGCCACATGTGGCCTGTGGTTAGTGATAAAGCCCCTCTGAGCCTTGGGAATAAAGGTGCCTTATTTAAAGAACCAAATGAATACTAGGCACTTCTCTGGTCTGTTGAGTTTTGATGTACTCCACACAATCTACCAGTCTTTGTGGAGTTAGAATGCAATTAAAATTACCAGATTTAAACAGGTAGACATGCTTTGATTATCGACATGACCACAGCTTCTGCAAATGCTTCCAGTTCATCACTGAGGAAACTGGTTCTCTTTCTACTGTTGAGGGGTGAAGGGAGGGCTGGCACTTGAATCCTAGTCTGGGTTTTCAAAATCAGAGTGGATTCTGTGTAGATAATAGGATCTTTACCATAAAACTAGGCCAGTCCAGGGTCTTGACATTTTCCTGTGTGCACTGAAGGACTTGGTACAAAGCAGGGATGATGGGTGAGCACGTGTAGCAGTTTTCCACATCTGCAAGTTCTGGGATGTCCGGGCAGGACCCAGCGGTGAGCCTCGCCCTGGTTAAGTTTAAGGAGTGGCCTCCTTGAGCCATTCTCTATGAGGTCAGTTTAGGCCTTAATTTTTTGCAGCCTGGACTGAGCAGAATGCTCCCAACAGAAAGGTGATGTGTCCTCAGCACAGAACACGGAGGCGCTTACAAGAGGCCACTTACTTATTCTTTGCAGTAACTCAGTTGGGATAGGTTCTGCCTAATACGTCCTTAACATTTTGGCCGCCTAAGGCCAAGGCTATCAACCTCTAACTGGATTCTGCAAACAGACCAATGGTGATGTTTTTGTTTTGTATTTTTTTTTTCCGTAATAAACGCTACCTATGCCCTCTTCTACTTCGTGTACTTTAGAGTCCTGCTGCTTGTTTTGAGGGAAAAGTTAACCACTCCATCAGTCATTGTGGGCTTGTATTAGTTCCCAAATCTGTAGGCTTTTCTTGAACAGCCTTGGAACAAAAGATTCAGTGGGCCAAACTCCTAGTCTGTTTTAAAATAAAGAGCAGTGTCATTCTGAGCCACTTGGCTGAAGTCAGTCCACGAGATAGAAGAGGGACAGGAGTCAGTAGAAAGTAAGAGCGGGGGCACCCGGGTGGCTCCATCATTGAGTGTCTGCCTATGGCTCAGGTCATGATCCTGGGGTCCTGGGATCGAGGCCCACATTGGGCTCCCTGCTCAGCGGGGAGCCTGCTTCTCCCTCTCCCACTCCCCCTGCTTGTGTTCCCTCTCTTGCTGTATCTCTGTCAAATAAATAAAATCTTTAAAAAGAAAGTAAGAGTAGATTCAGCAAAGCATTTGGAAAATTATTC